GCTCAGAGGAGGTCAACTACTGGTTTGATTTAAAGCAACCTATATAGCTTGAATTCAATCTCAATATTTATATTCTGTTTGGAGGTCACCTCAGCTGAAATCCATACTTTGTATTGTGGAAGATGGTTACACAATGCTAGCTGCTAACCCAAACTGCTTCAAAGAGGTTATCTGAAATCAAATATTCTTCTTATTTCTTGGGTAGAATCTTACAGTCTGATCAAATTTCACTTTCCAGTGTATTGTGAGGTTAAGGCTCACAATATTGTGTTGATTTAATGGAGAAGTTTGTCCTGGTTCATGTACATGACAGTTTGCTGCTCAGATATTTTCAGAGGTCACATAATACTTCAAATTTCATAGCAGGGGTCAACTCAGGAGAAGCATCTCTTTTTTCATCATGAGGTGAGACACTCGTGGTGAGACCAGGCTATCTGGATACACACAAATTTGGCTTTTGGAAAGCCTGTCTCATGCTACAGACCACAGAAACAAGATGACGTTAGCAGTATCTCCATGAGATTAGAGTTCAGCCAGGTAAAACAGCAGGAGAAAGGATCAAAAGTCAGAGATTGCTCTCTGTGCCTCAACCCCCCCTCCACTTCTTCCTCTCCTTTCTCCTCGTCCTCTTTCATCTTCTCCTCCATTCTCCCAGCCATGGATATGTTGGACTGCCTGCAGAGTGTCTACACCTAAACAGCTTGTTCAGTGACAACCTGAGAAATAGAAGGTTTTAGCCATCTACCTAAATCCTTGACACAAAGAACACAGACAGACTTTCTTAGGCAACAAAGTAACTGCTTTTCTGCAGGACTTTTCTCCAGTTGTTCTTTTATCTTCAGCACTTCATCACAGCTGAAAACCAACATCTAAATGGACACAGCTTATTTCAGAGACTAGTATTTGCTCTGTCTTGTTTATTTGTTTTGCCCTGCAAACAGAACTGATGATGCCAAGCAGGCAAATGCACAGAGCAGCTGTTGACACACTGTTCTATATCAAAGAGGAAACTAGCTTTTGTTGGGCTTAGTTTGAAATTTTTCTTCCCCAGCAACAGTTGCCATAAAACTGAGGATCAAACTGTCTCCCAGAATAATTCAAGGTCTAACAAGTACAGTAAAGGAAAGCTGAAAAGCACTAACAGATCTTGCAAAAGGTCTAACAAGTCGTCAAGGGGTGACAACTCTGGTGTGATCACAATTGATGTGAAGGCCTGGATCACTCAAGACAGGCTTTTATTTCTGAGATCACCTTTTCAAGCAAGAAGTGACTGGCATCAACTTCCTAAGAATGGAGGACAGATACAAATGTAGCTAACACAAAATAAAACATTTGATAATGAAGTCAATGGAACACCACTTATTTATATCAGTTCCTTGTTTACGCTACTGGCTGTACAGGCTTTTTACATCACAGATCTAGAATTAGATTAAAAAATAAGACTGTCATGTTAAAGGGATGATAGTTATTTGTCATAAATCTGCAACAGTAATTTGATCAGTAAATAAATTTTCTAAGAATTGAGCATGCAACTCAGAAAAAATCTAGAGTTTATTGAACATTGATTAAATTATGATCTAATAAATAATTAAAACATCTCATAAAATATCTACTCTCTGCTTCTGTAAAAAGAGATTTTTACTTATGGAACAGGTGTAGAAATATTCTTGCTGTAAGGATATTGACTACAAGATTAGAAACTAATGCTATTACATCGTTAAAACAAAAGGAGAGCTGGAAACCACATGACAAATTAATACCTGTTTATTACTTCGAGATCAAAAATAAAAATAACTGCATTATTTTCTGTCTGTTACTTTCACCTGTTTCTGTTGGTATTTGGAAACATATTATTTCATTCTACACCCATCGAGAACAGAAACATTTTGAAAATATGTTTTTATTCTTTTGAAACAATATCAAATAGATTGACAAAACCACAACAAATAAAAATCCATTTCTAGAAAATACAGATGTTAATATCCCTTCTGTCTTTACTGCACTAACAATAAATGAATAACCCCGAATATACCACAACTATGAATAAAATGAAAAAAGCCTTCCTGAGAACAAGGTTTGCAATTTCTGCATATTTTTCATATGTTTAAACTACATCTCTAATGCAGCAGCTGCCACAAACACATTTTGCTTTGAGTAATCTCAACTGAATTCCTAAGTAAGATTCTTTTAAGCTCATATTAAAATGTGAGTTTATAAACACTTTGGTTTAGTTTAATTTTCCCAGAACTTTACTGCCTGACTTATTTGAGCAAAGTAAGCAGGACTTCCTTTCCTGAACCTACCAGAAGCATAAAATAAATTCCTGTATGCGTTTTTAAGCAAAAACAAACATTGAAATTAATAATAAGAAAACCCTGCAGTTTGACATGCAGTATTTCCTCTTCCACACTAGCTGTCAAGCAGCTAGAGAAAGACCTGTGTCCCGCACATCTTTCATGCCACATGCACCATACTTTTATTGTAGGGCTTGTCTGTTAACGGGTGCTGGGCTTTTTTCATGTTTTCAGTGGGCATGAGCTTCATTCAACCTGAGGTCAGTATGTAGGCATCAAAAGACAATCTAAAGAATGCACAGGATTTGTAGTAAGAAAGACATCAAGGACTCAAAAGAAATAAAAATAACTTTTCAAATTATTTTCATTATAATTTATTACTGAACTATGACAAAGTTGGGAGGGGGGAAGGTCTTTAACCAAATATCCAAATCTACCGTTTCATACAATGGGAATCAGACCTCCCCAATAACATGCAAAAAGAAAGGGGAGGCAAAATTAATTACCAGCTGAATCACTGGAATTTTTCAGCTTAGTGTCTCCATGAATGGAAAAATCAGTGCCAGCATACGAGTATATAATGGAACAATTCCAAATGCCTCCTTTTCTTGTTTCATGACATTAATATTTCATACTGAGTGAAATTAAATATCAAACAAGTTTCTATCAACTATATTTTGAAACAGATTAGTATCTTATAAGGATGCCCAATTCAAGGCAAAGGTAGTACGTACCTTGATGGGTATTAACATGACTGAGGAAGATGAATCTACACTGAGCTAAAAACTGCAAGAATTCTCACAAGTATTGCTCTTAACGCAGAATCCACTCACTCTTGAAGGCAAAAAGGAGGGTTGTCAAGAAAAGATCACCAGAAGTATGACTTACGTATATCTTCAAAACTTTAAAAGAAACAAAAGGTGCTCAGCCCCAGCCTTCTGTGGAGTTTATTTTCAGTGTTATATATATGTGTTCAGAATTTATGGAAATGATTGAGGAAAACAACACTATCAGAACAGATCTTAAATTGTCCTTGGCTTTAAAGATATATTTATGTGTCAGTTAAATTCATTGAATTTGAGGCATACTAACAGACATTCTTTAGAGAAAGTTCTGTCTTTAAAGTATATATGTGTGCATGTAAGTATGTATCTCCATAAAGCCAAATTTTAAGACCAAAATGACTGCAAGCAGAACTACTACCTTACCAGCAAAGGGATCAAAATCCACCATCATTCTGTAGAGATACAATTAAACAATCTATTTCACAGACAACCTAAACCTTCAGATACATTGAATTGCTTCCAAAAAATCCAAAGGGAAGTACATTTTTTGCAAAATGAATAGTATATTCTAACAGGGAGAAAGGTGGGGGTTTTTGAAAAAGATAAAAAACAAGAAAACTCTTTCCAGAATGCTCTCAGGAACTGGCATCTCATAGTGTGAGTGATTATTTCAATGCCTTCTTCAATACCATAATCAATATAAAAACTGGAAACACATAACTTTCAATTCCTATGTGTACATAGACATTTTCTAACTATAAAACATGAATGATAGATCATAACAAATAGCCCCTTTATGCATTAAAATTTACTATAGCTGTGGTGGAAATATGATTTTGTTTCTTATTCAAGTATAAAGTTTTCTGTTGACTTACATTTCAACATTAGGTATTTCTACTCAGTACAAAAGTACAAAGTTGCTTAATGATAGATGTTAACTGTAATACAACACTGGTTGTATTAGAGCTATTTCTCCTGAGCACTTCATTTCAATCTTTATTCTACAAAAATATTGCTCATAGTTGATTTTTGTGTTTTGTGAACATCTACTGAAATCAGGTAACATCAACAGAAACAGATGCAGATGCTGCAAAAGCATAGATATAATTACACCACTGTTAAATGAAGGTCCTACATACAGCCAGGATACTACATACTGACAGCAAGAAGTTAAATACCAAATAGAACATATTATTCCTTGTGACTTCTAAAATCTTTGTTGCCAATTACAACTTTAAAACTTACTGAAGCTAAAATATTATAAAGAAAGGCTGGTCCTGGTTAAAAGTTGAATCACATTCAAGGTTATTCTTCATGTTTGTATTAAAGAGCATAGATTTATCAGTTTCATGAACTCAAAATGAGAAAGGTCAATGATGCTTGTGGGTCCAATAACCTAATCGTTTATTATTCAACTTGTCCTTGGTATGTGAAAAGAATTTAAGCTGAAGCTCCCACAAAATTTTTCAGTCTACCTGCTATATCAGCGACTATTGTTTAAAACACTAATTCATTACTCATATATTCTTGGTTGGTCTCTGCATCAAAATCAACAATAAAGAGAAAGTAATATTTCTGCAATTTTCTGGAGAGCCTCCTATGCCCAAGAAAAGTGAACATGGGGCCAAGTGGGGTCTGCCTCTGAAAATTAACGATTTGCACATGTGTGTACATTCAGGTATTTACTAAAGAGGACAGAGAGGAACATGAAGTCACTCCTCCTTGGAAATACGCTTGTCACAGTCATTTTCCTAAGAAAGCACCAGTTGGAACCATAATCCACACTTAAAAATCCCCAGACAAACAAAAAACCACCGACAGATGCTGCACTCAGACACCTGCATATTGTTCTTTTGGAGTGACCCATGGCAGTGACAAGGGGAAGCATGCAAGCACATGGGCTCTGCTCACAACCACTGCTTCACAGCCGTGTATCATACTCCAAAGGCTCATCTGCATCATCAGCTCCGCTGGTGCTTGTCTCCATTTCTGTTTCCAAGGCTGGACTGACCCTTTCCAGTGTGTAGTCACTTCTCAAATCTATAGCAAGAAAATAAATACAATGATGCAGCGAAGTAAATGTTTGAAAGCATGTACACTCCAGGCAGTGTCCAATCTGATGACCAATGGCAGTCTGTTAGTTGTTTCTAGAAGGAAGATAATCTGCAGCAGTGCAAATCAGAGACAGGGAGATGAGAGCCCTGGGGGACCCAAAATGGTGTAAGCTGATATTAAAGAACCTCCCCTGACTGTATTAATTCAGCTGATCTTTCCCTCTATTACCTCTAGGTTCCACAGACACAAATAACAAAACCCAGTAACACTACAGTTTCTGTTTCAGAATCAAACAGCAATCACTGCTCCATGTAGGCACTAAAGAGAAGGCACTTCTCCCTAGTAAAAAATAGGTGGGTGCAAATTCATCCAGAATAGCAATCTATTTTGGCTTTGTGTCTTTTAAAATCGGCCCTACATCAAACATAAGCACATCCTATCAAATCTAACACAAATAGGCCATCCAACTAAGCAGAAGGAAGGGCTGCATTGTGTATGATCCTACCCTAAGGCCAGTAAACCTCCAGTGAGTTTTCCCTCGGCTAATGCATTGCCAATTTTTCGATTGTTACTCTTTCTCATTCTAAAATTATTGCTGGTGTTACCTGTAGTGATGACCCTGGAAAAATGAGCTACCATTTTTAAAGCAAAGGAAACAATTCAGTGGGTAAAAGTTTTCATGCTGAATGCTAATATCAGATTGAACAGCTCCAATCCTTACACAGCTGGTGGGCAAAAGAGCAATATGCTTATATCCACTTTTACACAAAGAGAGCGTGCCTGCTGTAATCTTTCAGGTCAATAGAATTTTTGTTCTTGTTTTTATAGCATGCCTAGGCCTTTACTTCCTTGCACTTAAAAAGTTATACATAGATTAAAAATCTTTACTTCGCATACCAGGAAGTTTCAGCCTCCTGCAGCAAGAGTTACAACGATGTTTTGTGATGAAGTTTCTTATTGCACCTTCTCCTAGATTTGCTGGTCCAAATACCATCTTTCCAGATCTAAAAGAAATATTAATAATCAATGAACTCAAAATAAACCAACTATATGGGAGAGAAATGATAATGTTTTCTAGTTTTTAAATCAGAGATAAGTTAGCTCTTTGTATGCAGACAATCAAAGCTTAATACAAGCACATCACAGTTTCTTAGCTCCAAGACAAGAAAACTTCCAGTTCTGTTAAGGTATTAGCCTACATATACCCCACACCACTTTTTCCTCCTGCTGCATCTGAGAGGATCTAAAGAGAGACAGGACAGACCTAGCAATTCTTATGACAATGCTTGAAGAAAATTTGGGCACAGTGACATTTAGACAACATATGCTAGAATCTGACTCTGTTGCAGAGTCTCATCAAGCAAATGGTTTGGTTCCAGTTTTGATGGTAGGCACCTGGGAACAAACCAGAGCTTGCAATGCCTTACTTTTACCTTATTTAAGAACAGAAAGCCAAAAGCAAGCAGAGCCCTAGTCACATCAATATGCACCACAGAAAAAAACACAGTATGCTGCTGACAAGCAAAGCTTTAAAATTTATTGGCTTCTTCCTATGCTCATTTCCATGTGTCTGCACTCTGGCCAATTCAGCAACGTTACTAGGGGATCCATTTGTGGAAGTATATTGCATATTCTGAATGTAGCTGCCACAATTACAAGCAGAAGCAAGCTATATATACACATGTATTAGAAGTACCACATAATTATAACAGATTCTTGATGTAGCCTGAAAGAGCAGTGTTCATTAATTTTAATATTGCTCAACCATTATTCTCAAGAATTTAATTGACATTCTAGACATCACAGAACACAGCACACAAGAAATATTTCCAAAGAAACTTTATGAATGCTAGTATTTTATTTTAATGATATGCAGAGTGGAAACAACACATTTTAAAATCTGAAATCAATTACAGGTCTGAGAAGCAACAGAAAAAAATTTTAACTCTCACAAATCTATCTAATCCACACTAAGAAAATATATTTTCTCTAAAGAAAGCACTTTTGAAATATGACACTGTCCCCTTTCACACGGAAAAAACAATGATTAGCCAAAACTACTATAGAAAACTTAGTATCTCTCTAATTTCTGGCAGATGCTAAAGACTGACTCCTGGATCATCTGAAGGACTTGTCCAATCAGCCTTAACTGCAAATTAGTACAGCAAATGAAACAAGAAGTGAAATATTATTTAAGAGCCATATATACACTTTAAATTACATGATGCTATATAGTCATTTGTATAATCTGGTAAAATCCCAGTAAGAACAGAACATAATTATGTGCTTGGGCAGCATAGAAAATTGAGAGGACTTCACTAACTCCAAGGCTACAAAACCACTCTGATAATTCCTCTGATCTTTTATTCCATGTAAAGTGCAGCAAACAGCACAAGACGGACTGATAATTTTCTCATGTTTTTGTGAGATGAACAGGGGTACTGTCTGCAACACATATGAAGTAATCTTGCCTCTCTATCCAGCACTGGCAATGGTTCAAGAGGAATATTGCATTTAAATTTGGAAAACTATTTCAAGAAATATGGGGGTAAATTGGTAAAAATAACAAGAATGACCAGCAGTCTAGAAATCATGACATACATGAAAAGATAAGGGAGTAGCCTAAAACTGAGAAACAAAACAAAACAAACCAAAAACAAAAACAAAAAAAAGGAGGAAGACTGTGACTAACTTTGACCTTATTGCAGTATTGTTTTCTTTCTGTTGTCAGTAGACAGGATGAGAAAGAAATGTTTCAAGATGGAAATCAGGAAAACTCTTTCAGACAGTAACAGTAGGTCTGGGAAGTTTTTAAGGTCATCTTTGGAAAACTTGAAGATTTGTCTGTACAAGACCTATGAAGCCAGGAATGACCTGATGCAGAAGAATCAGCTGAACATTTCAGGTCCCTTCTAATCCTACAAATGTGTTACAAGGTCACTCACCTGGTTATTCAAGTTCTGATTTTGTCTCCAAGGAGAGAAAAATACTGAGCCCAGCTTTCCTATTTCCCAAGCAGGTGCATTAATGTGAGCTAATGGGCTTAAAAAATCAAAACATGTTCCTCCTTTCGTGCAGAACCTTACCTAACAGTTATGCTCCATAAACGCCTACGAGATGATTGCACCAGATTGGTGATGGCCAGCATGCAGTTACCATAGACTGTGCTGACGGCAGAGTGCTCCTTATAGTCCAGAGCTGCTCAAAGCAGACAATAAGATATTTAACAGGTCTTACTGATGGAAGGTAAAGGACTGTGGGAGGTGTCATGGCAAGTAATATCTTTCCAGGGAGGTGCTCAAGTCATTTATTCAGTATGTTTTTGTAGAGGTAGCTTCCAGCCCACTTGTTTCAGTTGTGCAGATTTCTACAGCAAAGGTTCAGTTCATGCAGATGTTTTGTCTACTGGCAGCAGTTCAACCCTAAATTGTTTGGCTGGAAGTGCACAGCTTGCTAAAATTCAATAGATTTGTTCTTCAAAACACATGCTAATAAGTAGCTTCAGTGAACATGGTCTCCGCTCATTACTAAAACCTGCAGCCCATCACTATCTGCTTGAGTGCTTTCAAAAGGGAAAGTAAGAGACCTAGCACCTCTGGCTCCTTTTCACATGTTTATAATGAGATTTTTGACTACCAGCATCCTTTTTCTCACCTCTCTCAGCAGGCCTAATGCATCAGTTCTATCCAATTTGAAACTCAGCCCACTATTTTCCTCATCTCCAACCTGCTCTACGGACACTCTGCACATAGTGTCCATGAAAGCTTTACCTACGTGGACTTTGTTGTGGATTTGGCAAGTAGTACACACTAAAAAGGGCATCCAGAACACTGCTTATGAGGCAATTCTTCCCAGCAGCTGGGCAATACAGGAGTCTGCAGGGAGTGCACTGTCATAACCTTGCTGCTGTGCCTTAATTACTTCTGTTTTTTAAGGAAATACTTTCATTAACATTATAGCCACCTTGTTTGATCACACATAATCCTATGCAGTGCACATGGCCAGATTGTCAACTGATGTTAAATATCCCTGAACTTACACCAATTTACATCACTTTGGGATCTGTCTGAGATATCACAGTATCTGACAGACTTTCCAAAGAAATCTGTTATTTTTGTCTTGTCTTGTCTATATATAAAACCAAGCCACAATGCACTACCACAAAGCTAGAGTTCGTATTTTGCCATTACAAGTCCATTTCAAGGCATCCAGGATGTATGTAAGAAAAGACACATTACAAGTTAAAGACATGAGCCACTAAATCAATAGAATTAAAGAAGCAAAACATAAATAATTTAAGTATAGGTAGTTCTAAAGTTTGAATCAGTCCCATCAGTCAGATGCCATCTATTTTCTCTCAGGCTTCTAAGAGAACGTGAGCTCAAAGCAACTTTTGAGGCAGCACACATGTTTTGATTAACTATCTTACCTACATATGAAAACTTCAAACAGATCTTGCTACTGCCACAAGTATTTCTCTTGTGAGCAAAAGAAGGTCAGAGCAAAGGCAGTGCTTCTACACTGTTATTGTTATGACTATTTTAGAAAGTGTTTCTTAGAATTGATACCTGCTAGCTGCTTACAGAAACCATTCATCATTTTACTGTCTTACTCCTTTAGATCACTGACTCAAAACAGTATAGTTTCACAATTTGCTGTTCTGAAGATTTCCCTGAACATGCATCAAAACTGATCTGATTAATAAATCAACACTTCCCTTGAACTAGGACTTATCTGTTTCGCAAATGATAAAAACAAAACAATAAAAAGTTCTGAAAATAAGATCTGTGTGATCAAATTTTAGTAAGTATGATGAAATTATTTAATAACAAAAATAATCCAGAAGAACACTAATAAACATGCACTTCAAGAGAAGATAAATATAATTTCTGTTTTAAAGAGAATGAGTTGCCAGGTGCAGTACTGCGGTCAATGACTGGCCACAGTCTTCAGTAATAGCTATTACAGTTTATGCTACCACTGATATAAAAAAATCCGCTTGAACAGTAGCAAACCAGATTTCCATACATCTGTAGCAATACTTAAAAATGTTTGCTGAAAACTGGTGAACGACTACATGACTGACCTCTCTGTCTCACTATCCTAAGTTATCCTTCTGTCCTATGACCTGCTTAGGGGAAAGACTTTGTCACTGTGAGATGCTCAGCGTATTTTGATGTTTCTTCCAAAATAAATATTATATGGCTGATACACCTACATTTATAATTTAAAAATCATAAAACATTAATACGGTCATTTCATCTTACCAATTAAATAATTAATTAAATAAATAACTTAACCTTATTAATTAAATATTAATGATGGTCACAGAACTAAGAGCCTGCTTTCAAAATTAACTTGCTATGAGTTCTAGGCAAGTCATCTGATATTTCTATAGTTTATTGACCTTTGTATTAAATCAGACTATTCATACTTACATCTTCCTTCCAAACATTACAAACCTCTTCAGCCAGATGTCAGGAGCTGACCAAGAGGTAGCCAAGCTGAACACAAGACAGTGGAGGGGCAGAGATGCCAAGGCACAGCTGGATATATGTATGGGTTTAGGAAGAATCCCCAGAGAAAAGGACCCTGCAGGACAGCAACTATCAACACCACTACTTCTCTCCCTACAGCAAATACTAGTTAGGAGCAAGGTCACAAGATGGCAGAATGGCCATGGTTCTGATTCTGAAATTTGATGCATGAAGGCAGACTGCTACTTCTGTAGTCTGTCTAGTTTTTGTAAGTTTTCACACATGATTTACAATCTCCATATCATGGATCTGAGAATATTAATGTGTAGCATGCTTAAATGCACCAGTAGAACCTATCAGAAAGATCAGAGATCCAGAAGCCCTTTCCTCATCCTCTTAAACCACTGTGTCCCCATGTACCCCATGGAATAGTGGCCCAGTAGGCAGAGGAAACCAGTCCGGTTTAGCATTTCAGTTACTGATGACCTCCTTCAGTACAAATTTGTGAAGAGACTTACAGGGTCTTCTGTCTCTCATTGCTGCTCTCCCTGCTCCCCTCTGGAAAACTTCTGTGCTCCCGGCACAGCAACACAGGCTTTTCCCATCTTTCATACACCACTCACCACATGTTGGGAGCTGGAACACCTGCAATCCTTCAAAGCACAGCAGAGTATGTTGTCTCTCCACTGTCATCAATATCTTCATTTAACCCAAACACTGTGTGAAAAATAATTATGTATCTCACACAAATCATAAAAAATACCCTAACTATACAGACTGTTAGCAGAACGTGTGAAGCAAACAGTAATTTCATCAGAAATAAACCTACTTTTTGTCTTCGGGTTTAATTACAGACGGATCCGTAAGGTTTTCCCCAACACCTACAACAAAATCAACAGTGTGTGTTACAAAGGAAGGTAATTACGATTTCATAATCTGGCCCTTCCAAAATTGTAAATATCCATTTTCATACAGTGTCATAGTTAAAGTGGTCATGAGTTAAAAAGAAAATGTTATGAGTATAAAAATTTGTTAAGTAGTGGCAAACATACAGAGTTCTTATTACAGTCATGACTTCAGCTGCTTTGAGGGTTATTTATATGTAGATGGAAGGCTTATGCAAATGCACTAAATATTATGCTGAAACTCAACTAAGCAAAATGCGACCAACTCTAAGACTGCTATTTAAATTGGAGTAAAGGTATTAATCAGATGTGGATCTTATATCAAAATATCTTCTCTCGTGTACACGTTCTTTTCAAGGTAACAAACACAAGCCACAACTGTTATTTGCAGATCTTTTTACTTCTGGGTGGCCATGGCACCTTATTAAATAAATTATTTCATTATGATACCTGAATACTGATACTTATGTTACAGTTTTCCCCAAACTGATGACATACTACCATTTTACCAAAAAGCTCTTTTCTCATGTCCAGGCAAATTATTCTGCTTTTACACTAATTTAAAAAAGTCTATAATCATACAACATGCAATTATTTTTATTTCAATAGGCTGCTGATGCTAAATTTACATACTGACTATGGAAGTAGCATATTGTGACTGAAATACCTCCAGATTGCAACACTTTTCAATGAAGGTCATTTCAGTTGATGTAAATTAGACAAAATGTAGTGCACATGTATGTGGAGATGGCCCGGGCATTATATAGTGAATTGTGACATAGACTAACCTTATTAGAACTCCAATGGGAGCAGCCCTTGCACTTTTCCTAAACTCCAGATTACAGAACTACAAGATAAACACAAGGCAAAAACTGGAGCAGATTTCAGTTTGTTTGAGATGGAAATTGAAGCTCCAGTCTTGATGAGATTTACATAGATGTTTAAATTCTCCATGTCTGAGCCAACACAGTTGGTGTGGAACTGTCAAGAGTTGTATAATAAACTTAAGCAAACTTCAGACAAATTCTAGTATGCTGTGGTGAAGATACACTATTCCTGTATTTTTTTTCATATGCAGATAAAACCAAATGAAGGCAAGGATGGAATTATAGGTTTATTTTGCATAATAAGCATGTCTTTTTTGTAATTCACAACATATTTACATTTTATGGCATCCAGAAGCTAAGTCTTTGTCTATCCATACACATTTCTCTTGACAGAAATGACAAACAATAGTGTTTATACTGTTTGATGGGTGATGTTCATCTTCTGAACATTGTCAACTGTTTTATCTCTTTAAAATATGCCATGTTCCCACTTACACATGTACAGTAAAGTGATCACATGCTCTTTGAACAAGTCACAAGACTTTGTGAATAGCATTCAGGCTTGTAGCTTATGTAAAATGCTTACAGATTTATTAATATGAACAATAAAAAAATACAGATAGCACTTCACACTCTTCTGGCAGATATACACATTGCATGTGCATATACATGTGGGTACACTTGAATCTCTGGATTATTTATATGTCAATAAAAATATCTTAACTGTGGAGTATTTTTTTTTTGCAGTTGGCTGAAATGTTCCCGCACACTTTATCTACTTGCTCTTTTGCCCATTCAACCTAGATGTATTTGAAGTCAATTTATTTTCCCTTTACACCTACATTAATCTAGAGTGTCTGTGGATACCCATTTATCAATGCCACACAACAGATATCCAGGGGGTTCTTGAGCTTTGCCAGTATGAGAACGCTCAGCATAGCGTTCTTTTTTTGAGATAATTGCTTTACATTGAGTGTCAAATAGTGATCTCTGCTACAAGTCACCTTGCAAATCCAGGACAAGGAGCTCCCCACGGGTGTACACGTAGGTCCAGTGAGAGAAGGCCAGCAACAGCTCTTCCAGCAAGCTGCTGGGGGTAATCTCATCTCCATTATTGTTGTTGTATTTCCGAAACTCGCCGGTCATGTACTTCTCAATGGTCAGCCACTGGTTCGCTGAATGGCAGTAGATGAGGAAAACTTCCAGGAACCTATAGATACAAATGCTGTCTATCAGGACCTGGCAGGATAATGAATATCCACATGACATGATACAAAGCAAATATACCATAAAGAAGGACACATCTTTTCTCATTGGAGCATTTGAGCAGCAGGAGATACCAAATGATGGGCAGCACAAAGGCTTTTTCAGTTTGATAACTCTCAAAACAAAGCACTTTTATCAGAAAATATAGTTCACGCGCAAAGAAAAAAATCTGATTTCCTCCATCCTACTGTAAATGAGCTATACCAAACTGTTTATGTTCATTGTATAAAAGGCACTTCTTACTTAAGTAACAGCATTATGAAGAAGCTTATTTTGCCGTCACATGTAGCTATAAAGACAAAGTTCAAAGCTGACTACCTTTCGTCTTATATTTCAACCCACTGGAAAAGTAGGCTACACTAGACCAGGACATAGCTGAAAAGAAAAACCTTTGACACCTAATACTTAAAGACAGTGACTTTACCTTGGAGTATAAGGAATAGTATGAGGCTTCACTTGATTGAAGGTATAGATTAACTTCTGGGCAGCTCTTTGTTGTTGGATCTCCTGAAGAAAATAATGTTATAAACATAATTTTCATTTTCATGGAGATAAATGCCATGAATTTGTCAAAACACACACAAGCACACTCACAGGCTCAATTGTATACTGTTTACAAATGGGAGATATATCTTCCTCAAAAGCTTTCTCCTTTCCAAAAGATAACATCAAACCATATGTCAATGATGCTGAAGACATTCTCATGTAAGAGTATAACATTTAAGGCATATCAGGCTAGACCAGTCTGTGCCTTCAAGTCTGAACTCACCCTCAGGCAGAGATGTAACACTGTGCCATCATGAAAGATCTTTTGCCAAGTCTGAACCACCTCTGGCAGAAAAGACTTCACAATAAATACTTGTCCCAATTTTAATACATCATTCTCAGACCAAGTACAGATGACCTTCATGGCCCTCCGCAGACCCCCATCCATCTCCTCCCTTGACAAGACTTGGATCATTGCAGCCATACCACGCTGGGACCAGGAAGACATGCTTTTATCAAGGTTCATAGGTGAACTTTCTTCCAGCCGGTAGACTGTCACTTCCTCTCCAGCTTAAATAAAGGGAAGTTTTGTTAGCAGAAGTCAAATATTGCAGCCCCAGGAGAAAACTGCATTTTGATTTGTCTTAAAATAACATAACCACCTTACACACCTTTGTAAGCCACACTTTAAAAGAGCTTTCTTATCATTACCGTTCATCTGTGTGAAAACTTTGCCAGCCTAAACTTACACTACTTATTACATACATTCTGCTTAAGATCTACTGTGATAGCATAAGTGGTCCAAAGAGCTTATATTAAACCTCTAAAAAGAGATGAATTTAAGACCTCCTGGACACTTCCACACAAACAAAACTCATTGATTTATATAGACCAGAATATCAATCTCATTTGCCATACTTTATTAAATACTCAAGAGATGCTGAGCTTTAAAAGTACCTATTTTTAAAGGGTTAACATTTTATCTTCAGTATATGAATCTTAAATATCCCGAGTGTGGCTCCCTCTGTTTATGCACTTATGTGGAACAGTAAGTTTGTTTGTTTAAGTTAATCAAGATCCATGGAACATTATAGAATCATAGAATGGTTTGGGTTGGAAAGGACCTTAAGATCATCTAGTTCCAACCCCCCTGCCATGAGCAGGGACACCTTGCACTAAACCATGTCTCCCAAGGCTCTGTCCAACCTGGCCTTAAACACCGCCAGGGATGGAGCATTCACAACTTCCTTGGGCAACCCATTCCAGCGCCTCACCAGTATTTTCCTCATAACTGTGCTCAGCCAATTAAAAAAAAACCAAAACAACAACAAAAAAAAAAAAAAACCAAAAAAAAAAACCCCAAAAAACAAACAAGGCAAACAAACACAAACTGCTTCTAATAGTTATCGATTATGAAATTAAAGGGACAGACACTGTCACTTTTGCACACAAACAGACAGCTGAGTTGTTCCAGAAATGGAGACTTGGCCACAATGAGCCAGGGAAATTACATTGAAAAGGACTTGACTTTCCTCGAAGGAAGGAATCCTAGGAGAACAAGCTAAAGCAAACTGATAGGATGTTTACAGTTTTGGTGTTTTAAACTAAGATTTCTATTTTTTCCATAAATTCCAATGTTATTTGTACTGTGCAAAATTTCAGATGCTCTGCTCCTGCTAATAACATTTTTCTGAAAGCAGAACAAACCTAGTGAGCTTTAACTCAGTTGCACTGTTTCCCTATGTACTTGTAACAGCATTCCTCTCTTGCAGCATAAGCGAGACACCTTTCTGTTGCCATCATTTGTAAACTAACAGAAAAGTGGACTGATTTTTTAAACTTGGATTTCCTTCTTGCAACTCACATTATTTGCAATGTTAATTTGTAAGAAACAGGTTTTCACCACCAAGTGTGATGCGCTAACTATATCTGCAGAATGGCAAGGAATACTATATGGAAGGACAAACTGGATTCAGACAAGTAGATTTCCTCCCTGCTCCCAAGCCTGCCTTCACTAGTTAGCACAAGTGTCAATGCTGTCAAACACCACTTTTTGCACACATTTTAATTTAAAATAAAGCAACAGAAAGCCAGTGTCTTACATAAAAGACAGACACTTGAATAAAGATACTATAACTAGACACATTTTTTAATCTTACATTAATTCTTCATTTTATTATCGTTTGACAATTTTATACCTAGAAAGGTGTCACCTGGGAGCTTCAAAGTTTAAAATGTTCAATATGCTTATAGCTATATTAATTATCTGCAGCAATCTAGTCCCAAGAAATCCTATGATGCTGCAAGTATCAGCAATTAGTTGCTGTGAGACAAAATACTCTACCCATTGAAAAGAAGGCACCTAGATCTCATGTGTCTAGAGGCAGAGCTTCTGCTGCTATAAGCTAGTACTACACAGTAATTTCAGAACTCTTCCAAACGATTTATGCAGTATTCTCTACTGCTTTTCAGTTACAGCACAGTTCTTTTTTCCTTAGTACACTACAAGTCTTCTGTACCAGGTACAGAAGTGGCCTCTTAACCACTACCTTCTTTATGGGATAGTCTATACATATAGCTACATGAGAGAGAGTGTGGCTGTGAGAAAGAGAGGGGTAGGCAGAGAGAGAGCAGGTATTAAGGTTAAAGGCAATCTTTTTGCTGTCTTCAGCTATCCTAATGATAGCTATAAAGAAGATGGAGTTAGATTAACCTCTGAAGTTGACAGTAATCACATGAATGCCAAAAGGTAACAAGCTACAATAAGGGAAACCCCAACAAATACTGAGAAGAATACTAGGTTCACATTGAAGTCAGTCAAACACTGGAAGAGGTTGCCCAGCAAAGCTGAGGAATCTTCATTTAAAGATATATTCAAAATGAAATTGGATAGGACCTGAGCAACCTGATCTGAATTGGCTGCAGAGGGAGTTGGACCAGATGACCTCCAAAAGTCCCTAAATTATTACATGACTACAATTCTGTCTTGGTTTATCTCTTTTAGAAAAGAAGAATTGCTGAAATTAATCCAAAGAAATTACTCAACATATTTAAAAAGATAACGCACCAACTATTTATAAAGTTTATAAATAACATAACCAGGAAGTTGGTACTCACCAAAGAGCTGGACTGGTGTAAATGGTATGGTCTGAGCAAGTCTCATTAAGTTGTTCCTTTCAACAGCTGAAAACAACATAGATTTCACTACTATGAATAAACAACAAGCTGGCTGAGTTTCAGAAACATCTGGTGGCACTTTAGTGCACAAAGCCTAAGAGGCTGCAGTGTGATCCTGTGTCAGATCTGATCACCATTCTACCCAGCCAGCAAATCCCCTTTGCATGCTCATGGTATCTCAGAAGCAGCAGCTGCCACCCTTTTCCCCGTTCCTTGATTCCCTCCTTCCAAGGAAACAGGCACTCTGGGACAAGCCCCCTACACACTGGCTGGAAGAACTGCTTCTGCTAACTCTTCATCCTCCTTTCACCACAGGCTATCACCACTTCCTCCTCCTGCCATCTCCAGTGCAGCAACATTCACACTGCCAGTAAGATGCATTGGCCTCACCTGCCCTCACTGCCTGTCTCATCAGGCTCAGAAGTACCTGGGGATTTAACAAAGCATCACAGGAAAATCCATGTTTTCCCTGCAAAGACCACTGTCTCTTCACTGGGGCACCTCACCAAAAAACATCACTAACATTATTTTATCTCCAGCTTATTTCGCAGGGAAACATCTTAAAAACTTCATAGAGCTATCTAAATACATATGGATTTGTCCTCACCATGGGCTCAGTTATCAGAAAGGGGAAGAGAGCTGTGAAGTAAGCCACAAAGAGGGTAAGACAAGAACAAGAAGGCAACTCAGATGCTACTGTGCCGACTGCCTAATTTCACTGTTCAATGGCTGAAGACAAAACTAGCATCCGAAGTAGAGAGTGAACCACAACAAACCTGTGTATCTCTGCAGAGCAACCAAAGAGCCATGATGAAAGACTCTTCCAGAGCCTGGACACCATCTGTCGTTTTTTTAAGATTACCTCTCTGAGCAGAAATTAATTGGAGATTATTTAGCCCAGAAGAGAAAGCAAAGGGGACCCACACCATGTCAACCCATGAATTAAGATCCTCATTTGAGAAGATCTGCATTTCAGACTCCACTTCAAGGCTTGTTTACATATGTCAAATGCAACAGGCATTGGTTAGCATGACTGAGTGGTTTTGGAGCACGGTCCTTCTTTGATGCCTCAGTAGGAATATGTGCACAGTATGAACAAGGATGTGAAAAGGGGAGGTGTCAGATCTGTGCTGTCTGTCAGACCCTGCTAGCACTCAGTCTAGAGGCTTGAGAAGCAATGTGAAGTGGACACGCACCAGCTGCTGAACTTGGGTCAAAACTCAAGTTTTTTTGGGTGTGCAGAGAGGCAGAACTGTCCCTGCATGCACATGATAGCAAAAATAAATACATAAGCAGTACATGGTGCAGGATTTCAGTATCAAGCTTTTAGGCTTAGTTGGCTAAATTCTACCACAATCTTCCTGAAGAAAGAAAACCTTCACAGGAAACCTCTCAAGACATTTGTCAGCTCATAATGGAAACCATTCCCTGTGCTAAAAAGTCCTACCTAATCTCGAATAGCATGCCTGGTGTGAGCCAAATTAATCACTGCAACAATGCCACGATGTCAGAGAAATTACTCCTGTACACTGATTACGAACCACGAGGTGTTACTCCCAGTGAAAATCGCGGGTTTTTGAACTTCAGGAGACTGATACTGCTTCTGGTTTACCCCAGGCTTCCGTTTAAAGAAGCTTAAGTCCTGTGGGCAACAGAGACATCTACTGGCAATCCCTGCTCAGCTCTCCTCTGGGAAAAACTGAAATCCAAACCTTGTGGGAAAATCTGTGCACACGCAGTTCAGGAAAAAACAGGACTGCAGGCAATTATCACTCAAATGATTTATTCCCTGTCAGATTTCCAGGAGTTCATAGGTATATAAACACAGATTAAGTAGTACAGGACCAATTAACTGAAGAAACCAATTCCAGCAAGTACAAAGGAGGATGTGGGAGGTGTGAGGGTGACAGATATAAACAGAGTGCCTCTTCTGCCCTCCCAGGAACCAGAGCACTATTCATTGTTTCCACTGATATTTTGAAAGAGATTATCTACATTCTGCTCTGGATTTACCAGAAATACTCGAAGAGAGCAATTAGCAGCAAGAAAATAATTTGTAATTTCCTTACTGGGGTGTTAGGCATGAATTAATACAGAACCTTCTTAGCAGCGGGCAATTGTGCAACTCTTCAAAATGAAAATCACAGAAGATGACAAGGGAATAACTAATGTTCTTTTTAATTTCTCAAATTACTTAGCTATCATTCTGGTGTCTCCTGCTTACCTGAGTAGTGATGATGAAGATCTTGAGATGTTTTCAAGCAGGCAAACATATCTGAAATAATGTTTAAAGGATCATTATGTTAATTATTACAGCAGACATAAATGCATGATTTTTAAATTCCTTCCATCCCAGAGTTTGCCATGAAACAGATTAATCAGAATTACTGTGTCAACATTCTAAAGAGAAGAATTACTAATAGGCTTTAACTACGTTATAATGTACAGTATATTGGCAGATTTCGGTCATCACTGTAGTATAGCCAGATGACTTATTTATTCAGGGAAATGGTGGGAAACTTGTGCTATTAACCTCAAGGACATGTAGCTTCTCTAAGCCAATTACACCTCTGGGATATTAAAAGCACTTTGCTGTCCATCATGTTTCACAGCCTCCCACAGGCATGGTTTTTCCAACTTCATCCTCAGACATTAAGCATTCCATTAACTATACTAACACACCAAAGTTATAATAATAGTATCCCATTAACCCACAGCATCAAAAATTCACTTAAATAGACAAACAGTTTCTGTGGTTACATATTTAACAGGCATGGCCAGATCAAATTTGCTCCAAAAATCTTTGTTTTATAAAGTCTTTTTAATAAAACCAAGATTTATGAGTGTGTTTAAATCAATTAGATAAAATCACTTTGTTCTTTTGGAAAACAATACTTCAAAATGCCAGAGTTCAGAAAATATGTATACTGTACTATTTGCAATTCTGAAAAGTTAGATGATCAAAACTGAATCTTCATTAAAGTATTTGAACATTACACTGCTCTTCTTGGTGTATTTTATTTGCTTATATTCCAGTTTCTAGCAGAATAAATTTTAAATGAAAACATAAACAGATGTTGGGGGAAGACTAGCATTTCCACTGCGTCCTTGGTGATTCAAGGTCCCTTCTGCTCTCTTTCTTGCTGGACTCAACTAGTTTTGTTGCAGTTTGTACGCTGTAAAACAACAAACATGAAGCAGGGAATTGGCATTAAGCCACTCCTTTTGAGGATGGCAAAACTGGATTTTAATCAAAGTAATGGTGCACTCTAGAGAGTAGCCCCACAACTCACTAGGCCTGCAGCAGTGTGCTTCTGTACAGCAGCATTTTGTGCACAGCCGGACCCAGAAAGAGCAGTACTTGAAGGGGAGGTAGTCTAAGAGAACTCATTTCTGCATCACAGCTAGTCTCAGAAAGAGATTGATGCCCAGCTGCTCAGCCTCTTACAGCTAAGTGGCATTTCAGGAAAACTGGAAGATAGACTAAAAGGCAACAAATAATAGAAGTGCAGTTCGCTAACGCTTTACTGTTGCAGAACAAAGTTATTTTTCACTATAACCTTGAATCTCTTTATTGACCATTTCATAATAAATTCAGTCCTTCATTGATTGCATAATTTCAGGAAAACCACACAAACAGAAGCATTACACCAAACTTCAACTTCAAAAATTATGCATATATTTAAAATTTTATATCACAATCTATCCTCAGGTATACTCCCTGCTTTAACTTAGGAGGTCTCTTAGACTGCCAGGGATGAAAGCAACACCGTTATCTTAAAGAGTTTCTTCCTGTTGGAAAGGACAACATTACTGGGCAGACTAGAATAAAAAATAGAATTTTTTTCTTTTAAGATTTTGAAGTTATCATGAGGAAAACATACCCTAATAAAAAAAATCATTAATTTTAAAATACAAATTAGTAACTAACATATATACTATATCTGATAGAAAAAAGGGGTAATGGCTTCAAATTTAAACAGGGGAAGTTCAGGTTGGATATAAGGACGATGTTCTTTACTGTAAGGCACTGGAACATGTTGCCCAAAGAAGTAGTGAATGCTCCATCCCTGGAAGTGGCCAGGGTGGTCAGAGCCTTGGGTGACATGCCAGGTGGGTTGGAACTGGATGATTTTAAGGTCCTTTCCATCCGTTACCATCCTATGGTACTAGGAAACAATAGCTGAACATTTTCCTATAACCCTCCGACTATATTAAATTAACTTCCTTTTGGATTTTTTACTTCAGAATTGACAGAGTGAGATTTGCAGAGAGAAATTAAAATGAATGACAAGCAACCAAAAACTTACTGTCAGTTTCCTCTGAAGTTCTCAACCTGTTTAAAAGCAAACATTTGCTATTTTACTCCAAAATTTCTATCATTAAGCTAACACTCATAAAGAGATGTAATCTGTGTGAGGGAAAAACTCACAAAGGTTTGATCAGCAGTCATAAAACAAAATAACCCTCTGAGCAACTTTGTTCATTGCACCAATCAGCAAATAATCTTCAGCTACTGAAGAACAGATACATTTTATAGCATGCTTCTTTTTCTGCTTTATGTTGAGCTGCTCTTACAATCCTGCACCACTGTTCATACCATTTACACTGCAATAACAGTATCAGTTAAAGACCACTTCAATCATGTACACAATTGTTCATTTTTCAATCAATGCTGAGATGTATTCAGAACTACATACGCTATTACCATTGCTTGCACAAAACCAGACTTTTTAAACTGATGGTCCTTTGGATTAGCAAGGCTGCAGAAAGATGACAGCATCAGTGTTAACATTAAAGCAGTCTTTGTTACAGAAGACAGCGGATATGATTCACCTCACAGGCCAGAGAGATCCCACTGAAGACAACGGACTAAGTGACAGAATCAGGCCACTCAACAGCCTGTATGTCCTGCTGGTAAGCATGCAGTTTGCCTGCTGCCTATAAATGATTGGGTAAAACAAACACATAAAAAAACCCATCACCAAGAAAACCCCAACAAGACCACCACCACAAAAACAAAACAAAACAAAAAAAAACAACAAAACCAAACCAAAAAAACAAACAAACAAAAAAAACCCCAAAAACCAAAAACAAAACCAAAACCAACAGTATGGGTGAAAAACAAAGTATCTTTTTTCCTCTTTCCATAGTGATATCACATGGGATGTGACAGCTTCCTAGTGTTCTTCATTTATTACATCCACAGTGTTACTAAGTAAGAGAAACATAAAAGAAATCAATGAAAATAAGAAAGAAAAGGAAAAGGAACATAGAGACAGCATTGCATGTGAAACAAAAATACCTCCAATGCTAAGACAGTGATTGATCAAGCTGGGGAAAAAAATCCAAAAACCCACAGTAAAATTGAAGCCACTTTTGAAATCAGTATATTTTCACTAAATGTAATCAAAGCTTAATAACTATTGAAAACCCATTAAGAAATCCACACTAAATATTTTGTATATGTGCAGACTCAGTACAAAAGAGATTAATCAGAGAATGAGAGACACTTTCAGGAGCTGCTAGCATTTTAATTATTAAAAAAGGAAACATGCAATTTGCACAGCAAAAGCAAATACAACTTTTCATGCTCACTAGATTGGAATAATGGTTAGTTAAAGATGCTATGGTGATCCTACTGATTGAATTAGAAGATTGGAATACTGTTAGAATAAAAAGGAGTGTGTATTCCACCTAAAATTATATACTTTGTTTAAATGGATCTCCTTTGTCTCCATTAATAAGGCTCCATTGAAAGAAACTTAGACAGATTGAATTGCTGTAATTCTTCATTTTACATAAATTTGTCATCTGAATGTATTGCAGAACTGAAGTGGTAACTTGCAGAAAGTACAGAAGTCTCTCTAAAAGCATGTGATGAATATCTTAATATACTAATAATACATACAATGAGTTCCTGTTCAGATTACTTTTCTTGGTGGTTCCAAATATGCTATTACTCAAATCCTGTAATGAAGAGAGATACTTTTACTGGTAAAATCTGCACATGACTGTCATATACACACTGTGCAACTCACAAACGTACAATCGTTAAAACACTTACTGATACACTTATTGTTAGCATGAATAAAGACACTGGCAGGCAGGTGAATCACAGCATTGCCATTCCTAAACTAAAACGGAACGGATTTGCTCACATTACAGTTTTCCATGCTGTCTTCATCCATTTGAATTAAATACTCAGACACCCACCTATATCTCCATACATGCACAAAAGCATGTTAAAGGTCGTCTAATACGGACAGTATTAGAGAAGTCTTTTTATACTAGAAAATTCCAATTTAGGGATAGTCTTTACTGTTGTAGAAAATAAAATGCACCTAAACCTTTATAACAGAAGAAGGTAACACATTCAGCATCTTTCCAGTGATATTTAGATCACATATTTTCCAGGTCTCATAGTTAAAAAAAAGTACTCAAATAGTCTTTTATTTTGCTTCCAAACATATTACGGAAAATTGGGCCAGCCAGGTCCTCCTAATATGCTAGTCAGAAATGGGATTATTCTTCTGAATAGTAGTCAGGCAGATTTCAATCCTCAAAAGAAACAGAGCCCCCCAAAAAAGTCTGAAGACATCAAAGGTTACAGTTAAATTAACTTAAATTCAGCTTTAAATATTATCTGAAACTTAACTCACCATTTTTTAATTTCACTCATATTTTTACCTTGTAGCTTGCTTTGCAGATGAAAAAAAAAAAAATCTTTAACAAAGCCCAAACCCTCCTACACACACCCTGGCTTAGATCCTTCCTGCCCATCAGGAGGCATTTCTGAACCACTGGTGTTTAACAGGTAAATCTGAAAAGCATCTTTTTAGGAAAAATATATTTATTTAAACTATATCATACTCCAAATGGAACAGTTAGATGCAACAACAATTTACATCTCAATGATATAAATAAACTCTCATAACCCTTAATAACAAGGAGAGGCATGGCAGCTGGGTGGGTATTGGAAGCTATATCTTGGAAGAATAAATAACTTGGTGTTCTGGAATTGACTAGTTCCAGCCTAACCCAAATCATGCTGTAATCACCAGAATGTTTCTGAGAACTTTAAAAATCCCATCCTTGATTTTTACACAAGACATCTTAATACGAGTTTTGAAGAACCAGATTACTTGGTCCTTTCACACAGTGTTCCTGGCTATACCTTTATTTTGCTTGTCTGACCCTGTGTTTCACATTTCAAAGATTTATTGATTTAGACTCCAAGCTCAGTTTTACAGAATACAAAATCAGTGCATCTATTTCTCTCTCCCTCCATACAAAACCCTGCCATTTTAAAAATTTAGATTCAAGTTTGCTTCCCTGGTATTTGAGATTCAAATTCTACAGCACTTAAAACAGCAGATCTGAAACTATCTAGTATTATTTTTATTCCTTTAAAAAGAAAAAAGGCAACTCATAGCATTTACAGTGAAAAATAAGCCAGACTTATAAAGATCACCATTTAATAACTAAGAGTGCTATAAATAAAAAAGGCAAGGAAGGATGCTGTTGAGAAGGGAAGATGAAAGGATTATTTCACATTTCCTTTTCTTAATTTATTCTTTGCTAATTTTCTTTCATACTTCTGAGATACCCTTACACAATGTAGTGAAAGATACATTTTCTTCCATTAGCTACACCATTTTAAAACAGATATTTCTATAACCCAGATTCCTACCCCCTGTCTTCAGGAAATACAAATTGGTCTAGCTCCATCAAAGTCAATGAGCCTATGTTGATTTACATAGGCAAAGGACCTTTGCATTATGGAGCTGGAAATTAATTCTGATAAATTATACGATATGGTATTTTTAAGACTGTGGTTAAGAAATCTAAGCTTTGCAATTATAAATATTTAATTCCCACTTTGCAAGAAATAACTATATCTGTGTGACAGATTAAGAGCTATGTAGCTAACTTTCCAAAATTTACTTCACTTTGCTAACCACTTCTGCCCACAGGTTCAAGACCAAGCTGTGTTCTCGCTCTTTATCTAATGAAACATCATCAACCCTTGTGTCATTTCTGACCCACTTCTTCATACTTGTACATCAAATCCATGATTTAATAATATCCCACTTAAATAATCTTAATAGAGTATTAACAGCTATTAAATTACTCATTTAGTTGCACACATGCACTGTGCTGGCAGACGAGAGTTCGTCATCTCTCAAGAGGTATTTCATGACAAACATGACAAACCTATAGTGGCAAGTCCAGGGACATCAGTAGAGCTACCCGGGATGTGTAATCTTAGACCTTACCTCTTGAGAATGCCTCAGGTAATCACAGAATGGTATGGTATGCCTACCAATGTCTTGATTTTTCATTTTCTGGTGCATGCAACTGAGACGTTCCAAACCTACGCAAAAAAGCAAGTGTCAGCTATTTCCAGAGTGCAAATGAACATCTCTACTGCTACAAACTAAACATCTATGTAGTGCTATAAAATAAACACCTATACCCCATATTCCTCCAGCAAATGTGTAATGGGCTATAAAAGCAGTAACAGAATTCTGTAAGGTTAAAAAGGACTGTTTCCATTTTGTCAGCAGATTTCAGAGGAGTGCAGCCCTTCTTAGACCATGCTGTGCAGAGTCACAGCATTCCCTGGTGCTTCTCCCAGCAGCTCGCAGAATGAAGCCAGTGAGCCACGTAACAGCAAAGGTGAAGGATAATATGAACTATGCAAAGGATCTCTGAGAATGAAAGAGCTGAAGAATTACTAAAAGAAGAGTAAGAATGCCATTCCCTTTTCATTCCATCAGAGATTATACAGAATTCATTTCTTCCCTTTGGAGGATGTGTTTCTGAGCAGTGAGTAATGAATAATGCATGCAGAGGATCTGCCAGAAGATACAGTATCGCAGCACTGCCTGTGAGTGTAAATTTGTGAAAATGAGTGAAGTTCACAAGAGTTTATTTTTTTCAATTAGCCAGGATGCCACTTTAGAATATATAAGACATTTCAGGAGGGGAGACAAAGATACCATCCTCCTTGCTTCCCACTTATACCTGAGGGTAGTACTCTGCTATCTTCCACACCAGCCAGGCAGCACTCCCACAAAGATTTAACTGACCTTCCATTCAACCTACGTCCCTTTTGCCTCTGCAATGATGCAGCAAATAATCAAGTCATATATGTCTGCAACTTAAGCCTAATTCTCTAAAAAATATACCATGAGGCGAAAGTAGTGGATGAGACTTTAAATTTGTGAATTTTTATTCACTGTTGTAAATAAAAAGCTGTTCTGAATTTCACCATCTCCAAAATATCACATACTTAGCTGACTGAAATTAGACACAGTAAGCCAGTTCTTGCTGTGTTTCTCTTGCTCATCCCAGACATTGATCTCTGCAGGCTCTGAGCTCACTTGGGTGTTCTGGGGACAATCATCCACTCTAATCACCTGGTGAGACACAGACAAAGTGACACTCGATTTATAGGATGACTAGCACCTCTACATTTCCTCTGACAGCTTATGACATGGCCTTTCAGAGCACCACTGAAATGCCCATGACTGAAATCACTCCCAGCTGAGAAAAAAAATTTCCCATTTTTGTTGTTACAAGTTACAGAAGACAAATTGCTTTTGTCTAGCAAATACTACTGATGAATGATGTAGCACTATACCTTTTTAAAACTAAGTTTGAAGTCCCCCAGAATACCTTCAGAGGTATTAATTAGGTCTCAAAAGTTCAAGTCTAAGATCTGTTGTTGACCTGAGTGTCTTATGTAAATAAATCAGTCTTCAGCTTCTGTCTTACTAAACAGAGATAAATCTTTCCAGCTGATAAAAATTCTAGGAATCTCTCTATAACCTTATAAATAAATTTTTATGTATGTGCACACTTATACAGTTATAAAAGTTGCCCCATACATATGATATAATCAATCTGCTGTCTGCAATGTGTTAAATGTTTGATGGATTCAGAGAAAAGTCTGTGGGACTCTTGTAGCCAGGAGACAACATTACAAGGCCTGGCTTGCTTGTTTATAGTTGCACACCACATGGATATGGCTTTCCACTATTTCAGTCTATCCTAGAGCATATGAAGCCTCCCCAAGTCCTCTTGCCAGATAAAGTGCAAGGACTGACTCCTTTCCATGTAAAAGCAGTAACACCTCTGGTATACTATGTAGCAAAGTCCATAGACTTCGAAACATTCAAAAATGAATTCCCACACATTCAAACAAACAGGAAATTAAACCAAAGCCTGACACACAAAAAAGATGCCCCAGTTTGTGTGCAGCATTTCAAATTTATACATTTCAACTAAACTACCCTTAATAAATGAAAAAGACAGCTACTGGAAACGTGATTCTCTTGCATCTGCACATACCGGCACCTGAAGGGTTTTTTGATTCTTCTTTCCTCTCCCAGACTTTCTGTCTCTGTTTTGTTGTTTTGCTTTTGTTGCCTCACTGTGGTGTAGCTCACTGGATTGTAAAGACTCTGTGGGAAAGTCAAAAAACACTATTATGCTACAGCGTTTTTATTTACTAAGAGAAGATCTGATAAGACTGACAGTTGGCAGTTCTCCAAAGCAAGCTGAAAAAGACTTGTGACACCCAAAGCTAATACTCACGCAGTTCAGTGCGAAGATGTGCACCATCACAAGATTTAAATCAACAAATGTTATCCATCATCCCATACTATTCATACTTAGAACTGGATTCTGCTGTATTTTGGCTGTTGGTAAGCAAACTTGGTGGTTGACAGGGAGGGTTTTAAACTGGCTATAAAAATGTATACTGCTTCATTCTCCATGCACTCATCTGACCTGTGATACTGCTAATATACCTCTTAGCAATTGTGTAACTAATTTTGGCTCCTGCAACTCTTGCATTGCATTCCCAGGGCAAGAGACTTTCCCAGAGCAAGCACAGTCCCTCCTTTATCCTGGCTGTGTAGCCACAGCCACAGGGATCCATGGAGAGAATCAGCATGGTGCTGCTTGGATACCAGGCACACTCAGCAATTCCCCACAGCAGTAAGACCCAGCACAAAGAAAGTCTAGACTCTCTGCTGCTACCCTGAATTGCAACTAGTACTCAGATGCAATGGAAACTTTTTAATCATGCCTTGGGGTCTCCAGTAAAAGATACTCTACAGGTGTAGTTTTTTATAATTACCATCTATGGCCTTGCAGGTTTTCCCTCTTTTCTCTTTCTTAGTGGACTGTAAGCTGTTGCTTCTGCAGAAACTCCAGTCCCTCCAGAGTGGGCTGATCCAGAAGGAGGTGCTGCATTTCAGCTTGTTCTGAGAGATGAAGCTGCTGTGATGTGACCTCTCTGAGTTGCAGGAGGACTTTGATTCTCTTATCTGGACATGCCTGGGAGGACTACCCATGCAATTGCAGTCACTGTCATAGGTGGAATGTATGCACAGGGCCTTCTTCTTTGATTCTGAGCTGAAAACCCCTTTTTCATCACCTTCAGAAAATCCCCAGTTCACATAACCACCTTTAGTTTTTAACCTGTCATCACAGAAGGGTGCTGCACTCTCTTCAATATCCAGCGATGGGTGAAGACCAAGCGAATGATTGGCCTTTATGGCATTAGTCTTTTCTGATGGCAAATGAATAACAAAGTCTCTCCGGTTCCACTCATAATCTTCTGGCTTTTTTCCAATGAGGCTGACACTCTGCAAATTCTGCTGTACCAGAATGCTACTTTGCAGTTCACCTCTGAATGCATGGCCCCTGTACTTGTCAGGAGTGCTCAAGAAAGACAAATTTAAGGTGACGTCCTCAGAGAAAGACCCTCCCTGATGCTCAGGGGGCACCAGCAAAAATTGTCCATATCTAGGGGTTGATTTAGTTTCAGAGGATACTCCTGAAGTGAGTGTGTCACTTTCTATTTCTATCTTTCGAGAGCTGTCTTCTGCCTTGTTACTCTCCATTCTAAATACATGGTCTTTGCACTCTGATGGCCACTGACTCCTTACCAAGCTCCGTAAAAGGGAGGATGGCATGCTGTAGTAGTGGTATTTCTTGTCATACAAACACTCCAGGCTGCTCAAGGTCTTGGAATAGAGTGCATTGCTCCAGCTATGGGGCAGCTTCCTACAGCTTCTAAGCTTTGTGTCAGCCAGTAAGGCTTCTTCCACCTGCAAGGTGTCTACTGCTGAAAGCACTTTCAGGATGTCCACTGTCAAGGCAGACAGGTCTTGCAAATGTCCTAGCTGGCTGTCCAGGGAAAGTAAAGACTCCTTGATACAAAATACCTTCTCATGCACTTCTTTAAGCTGCAGAAACATCTCTTCCACTCTAGATGGAAAAAGAAAATATCATGAAAATACCAAAACACAGATCTTCACTTCTGTTTGCCAGATGAAGGAAGCCATTAACACATTTCAAAAAGTCAGTTCACATTTCCAACAGCCTCTATTTTTTTTTTTTTTTTTAATGGTGACTTCCTGTCACGTGAATACCTATATTTGACAAAACCAATCCAAACTTACATGTCAGTCAGATGACTGGGCAAACAGTCACTGACTTTTAAGGAAACAAGATTTTTGCTCCAGGAGTATCTATTCAAAAAACTGCTATTTTCCTACTAATGTCCATTCATTGCCATAAAACATGGCAGCAGGACACAGGTTTGGAAATGCTGCATTTACTACTGCATTTACAGCTGTAATGCATCATAATGCACTTCCAAAGCTGTGTCCTGCTGTCAATGCTGTAAAGTATACTTCTTGTCACCCAGTCATGTTGCATTTCTACATTTCTTGTGCAAGCATGAGAAGAACATGGCTCACACAAACCTACAGATACTCCTGTATTTCTCAAATACTGAATACTCAGTACAACACACTCTCTGGACCTCTTATCACTACGATCACTACAACAATGATAAACTAGCTGCAGGCAATATGCAAAAGTTGCTCCTTTCCTTTGTCACTGAGTAACTAAAAGATGCAGTTATTTAACCAGTATCTGAATAAAATCAAAGACCAGTATTCCAAAATACTTTATTAATCTAAATTAAGTTTTTTTATTAACGTTATGCAATGCTGTGAAGTGTGTTTAACTTTTGCACTCAAGAAAAAATCCTTTCCAGATCTATATTTACCCACTATACGAAATCTTCTTGCTCTAATTGATTCTGCAGCTTTTGAACAAAGCTACTTATTTCATTTCCTTTCATTTTGCTTGCAAAGCATTTGTTTTGTTTCAGTATGCAGAAAATAAGATTACAAATATGCAAAGATTAAGAAGCTATCTTTGTCTAGGCAAAACAAATTTATTAGATGAGATCAGTATTGGCATTCTTTAAGACTTCTTATAGCACTCATTTTCCTTAACTCTTCACATTAAACATAACGGCAGGGCTGCCACCGATTTCAATAGAAAGCTAAATTAGGCCAATACCGAGACTTTTGAAACCCCTGACAGTTGTGTATTGACATTTTGCTAGCAAAGACACTACGCTGCAGTTAATGCTACAATGGTTATATGATATGGTTATTTCTGTAAACAGCAGTTACACTCAACCACAAGCAATATTCTCAAAGTGTTCTTACACTGCTAAGCCTTTAAGTAAAAATATGTACTCTATGTCATACTATGGTTTTTGTGGTGCTACTTAATCTGCAAAAGTGAAACTGACCAACACCTTACTGTACCCATTTAACCACCTGTGCACTGTACACATCTGGGGATGCAATTCTGCCAGCAAGGCATCCCAGCCAGGCCTGTCATGCCATTTAAACAGATACCTTGTATTTCCATCAAACTAGCAAGGCCTGTGTATGATACTGCTCTCCTCTTCACAGTGGACATTCCTGTTCCAAAAGCATTAGCTTATACAAGTCTTTTTATATGACAAATGTATACAAAGAGCACAAATCTGCAGCAAAACACACCTTTCTGTTGTCAGACGAATTCTTTCACTGTCACTGGAACTCAGGTTTTCATTCTTCTCATGAAAATATTTTTCCACACACTGTTCCTCGAAGTCATGGAGCTTCTTTAACTCCTCATCACTTAGGTACAGCTCTGAACAAAAGAGATAGGAGTCAGTATGAAGCATGCTGATAAATGCAATTGTTTATAAGCATCCATGATAAAAAAAAAGAAAACTGTTGGAACTGCTTTCCTCCCCCTCCCTTGACAAGAATGAGTCAGATGTAACCTCCACGAATTTGGGCTTATGTATGAAGACTCAACAAGTCAAATACAGGTAAACATGGGTTTTATCTTTCCTTAGATAGGGGGTAAAACCACACTGACAAAAATTCCAGTGTCTTCCCTTTTAAAGCCTCAAAAGTACATACCCAAATGCTGCTCACAAACATGTATTTTCTCCCAAACCTTTTTTTCCTGTGTTTTGTTATGCTTGTGTGACACACGAGACTTAGGTATAGGTACATAAGACTTACAAAGATTTCACTGTAATTTGGTCCAGGCATTCATTTAGGTCTAGTCACATAACAATTACAGTCCTTTCAGGTACTCAAAGCTACAAAGCTTTTTTTTCACCTAATATCTTCCCATGCTCATATGTATAAAATGTTAAGCAAGATTACTGGGCGAAAAAGAACACATTCAAAAGCTTCAAACTCCACAGCTTGGGCTGCTCATGATGCTATTCTTCTAGCACACCAAGACTTCTGAGAGAACAGATTGATTATAAGTCAATATCAAGAAATGCATAAGGTGGCAAGCTGCTTCTCTCATCCAAAATCTGCATCTTCCCAGTTTCTTTTTTCTTTCCTTTTTTACATGCCAGAGTCCTCACTCTACATGCTAGTGGGGTATCAGTGCCAAGCAACGTGGCAGTGTTTGTCACAACTGTGTAGTATGAGGCTGCAACACACAGCTCAGCAGGGAAGCCCCCTGCAGTGTTCTGGGTACCCCTCTAGCTCCAAGTGAGACTTGATCACCTTCTAGACTCTTTTCCCCCTTAATCCATCTGTATTCTTGCCTCCAAGATTCTACTCTCTGTATTTCAGTATTTTCATTGATTTTCCACAGGGTGGCACTGGATACTCATTACTAAACCCAGTTAAATATAATCACATCACAATTTCAGGAGAAATTTATGAGGCAATACACAGGCATATAGAAAAGGCATTTAGAAAAGGTACCTAAACAGGAAAAATGTCTCTCTCTGCTAGAAGTGTAGGCATAGCATGAGCCGCCTTCTACCCGAGGACTTTTATATGTGCAAAGTAGTGTTTCAGTTATTCTTGTGCCTACTGTACCTTACAAGGAAGACACCCTCTATGCTATGTCAGTGACTTACACTATGCATGCATATAAAATAAGCAGCGATACTTCAAAGGCAGTCTGATGTATCCAGTCATGACGGAGGAGCTGAGCCTCAGAGCAGCAGTAAAGTAGATCAAGATTGATCAGCTAAGCCCGCTTTTGAACTCTGTAACCACCTGTGAGTGTGCCAGATATCTTCAGGGATTCATGTTCAGCAGAGTGAAGCATAAAGGAGGTTCTGCTCACCTGTTCTTAGGCATCAAAGATGTACATCTCAGCAGG